ACCAAATAAGCTGGTGTGCCTGAAAGCTAACTCAGCAATATAAAATGGAAATAATGGAGAGGGGCTTCGTGGGCCCTTAAAACAGAGTTTATATGTGAAATTTTATTTTTCTTTATAGGCTATACAATAGTAGCTCTGCAACATTTTCAAACTTAATGTACAGGTTAAATTTTTGTCATCATGCATGTTCAATTTTCAAATATCTCACATGGATGTGCCATTTGCAAATGGGGTGAGCGCCCCTGAATCCAACCAAACAAAGCCCTGTTTATATTGCATTACCATGCCCTTGCTGCATACTCTTAAAGGACAAAGAGAATGATTACTATATAGATCAAAGGGCTTCTCTCCTCCTCTATTGATCTCCTGCAAGATGATTTTTTTTTTTTTTTTTTTTTGAGACAGAGTCTCACTGTGTTGCCCGGGCTAGAGTGCTGTGGCGTCAGCCTAGCTCACAGCAACCTCAAACTCCTGGGCTCAAGCGATCCTTCTGCCTCAGCCTCCCAAGTAGCTGGGACTACAGGCATGCGCCACCATGCCCGGCTAATTTTTTCTATATATTTTTAGCTGTACAATTAATTTCTTTCTATTTTTGGTAGAGACGGGGTCTTGCTCTTGCTCAGGCTGGTCTTGAACTCCTGAGCTCAAACAATCCGCCTGCCTCGGCCTCCCAGAGTGCTAGGATTACAGGCGTGAGCCACCGCGCCCGGCCCCTGCAAGATGATTTGATTGCCTCCATGTTTTATACTGATATTTCACAAACTTACTAGGTGGGGGTGGGGACCAGCTAAGATTTATGAATCCTTTCTTACATTCCCTTTAAAACATACACACACAGCAGGACTATAATAAAACAATGAGCCATAGTGAAGTTACTTAAAGATTTATTTTTCCGCAGTGTCTCAGTGATTCTGAATGCAACAAAATAGAGAAAGGTCAGGCTACAAAGAAAAATGAAGATTGATCTTGGAGGGGTCTCTACGCTTGCTTCCTCATTGATTTATCCCTGTGGCCACTCTCTTCCCAATAAGGCAAGTGGTCTGAGACATTCTGTGTCTGAGACGTTTCATTCTGGCTCTATCACATGCTCTTAGGGGTTACAGAATACTCAGCAGAGTGTAATCAAAATCACTTGTATAAGGGCTGGAGCTTTGGAATATCATCAGTAGCAGGTTTTAGTCACTTGCTGATTATTGCACAGGGCAAAAAAGCATCTTTCCTTAGAAGTGCTTATTAGAACAAACTTCACTCACTTAGGTTCATCTGCTATGCCATATGTGAATAAATCAAAGGTGTAATATCCACCTTCCATGGTTTTCTGCCATAAGGATTAATACATGATATACAGAATTCCTGATGTCCTTTAGGGCTAAATAATCCTGTATCTTTATCTTAAGCCAGACTGTAGCTCAACAAAAGGAACTCTTTCTGGTAACTAAAACTGTCTGTCCATGGAATCATGTAGTCTGTAAAGTAGAAGAAGAGCCAAGATTAGAATTTGGGTGAAAGCAAAATCCAGGTCCAACTTCAGAGCCTGAGATGTTAATCACCAAGCTGTATCCCCACCCTTCTCCTGGTTATTGATAGAAGCAGGCAAAGTGAAAAAATATGTAAGAAAGAAGAAAGGAAAAAATAGATGTTTCAGCATCAATCCTGTAATATTAATGGACCCCTTTATTCATTAGAAGGGACCTAATTCAGCAAAGAAATCAGTGACTACATAAGGACCATATTTGAACTTGATAATAGACTGCTATGAGTGATTTACATACTCATTTCATTCTCGTGACAACCCTTTGAGTTAGATAACATTGTCTCCTTTTACAGATAAGGAAAACTGAAGTTTAGAGACGTTACAATACATAACATATCCAAGATCACATAGTTTGCAAGCAGCAAAGCTGGGATTCAAATCTATGCCATCTGGCTCCACAATTCCTGTCCTCAATCACTATGCAATACCGCCTTTATGTCTTTTTGCAGTCTTTGTCTTCCTCACCTTCTAGTCTAAAATATTATTCAATTAGCTTTTCTCTTGGGAATTGTTTTCTCAGAAACATTAGAAGAAAAAATCTATTCTCATTTCAATGAAAATAGTATCACAATGAGAACACATAAAACCAGACACCATCAGAACAAAATTAAAATGCAGTTAACGATCAAGCCATAATATCCATTCCACATAAGTAAATACTTGGCAGGCTTTCAGAAGATCAATATGGCATTTCATTTTGTAAGAGGACTATATTAGTACCTCTATAGGTACTAAAATTTAGATTTCACCAGTCCAGTTTTGAAGAGAAGCCAATAATCCAATAATCAAATTCATGTACACAACGACATATTGAAAAAGGATAAAAAATGAGGACCTGCTCTTAAGTCATGGTCTACTATAGAAAACAAAGATGAACATTCAGAACCAGCATCTGCTTGACTCTTGTTACCGGGGGTTTCCAAGATGGCAAAATATGGCATAGTGGTTGCAATCACGAGAATTTTAAAGGGAAAAAATTAAATTTTTAACTATTAGTCACACATACATCTGATAAGCAATTGTGACTTGGAACACTACAAGAATATTCATCTAGAAGTGGATAAGGGTATATACACTTGGGCAAGCTGAATAGGACAAGTAAATGGGTTCAAAGCGTTACTTTCAGGAATTCTCAGCCAAGTCGCTGCAGGAGACGGAGAGGAGTTTGAGGTCTGTCTTAGCTTGGAGTCCAGAGGAGGAATCGGACTCCATTTATATCAGAGACTATATATAAATGCATCTTACTCAAGGAGAGAAAGACAATGTGGGAATAAAGGGAAGCTCAGTGAAGCCCAAGTTCAAAGGAAGTGGCTTGGACATACATTAGAGAGAAAATGGCATGGTATTTAAGGGAGGAACTGAGAAACCTGCTAAGCACACATTCTGCCAAACAACTACCACAAACTATTCCCCTGGGCATCTTTGCTTAATATCATCTCAGATAGGGCTTAGGCAAAAATAAAGGGACCTGCAAGCTGTCCCAATCAAATCTTTCTTTAGCCATGGAATTAGGCTTTGGAATCTGTACTTCATATACTTTCACTTGTAAACATTTGTACAATTTTGTTTCTGCTTATGTTTCTAGTAAAAATTCCTTTTGAAAAAAACTTTCATCTTGTCTCAGGTAAGCTAAATGCATGCTGCTGGTGGTGGCAGCAAAGCTAACCCAGGCCAGGTGCACTTTCAGCAGTGGTGAAGTAGGTGCAGGCAAATGTGGGAACCTGAATGAACCAAGACAGGGCATTTGTTCATTCTTGCTTGTGCTTTTCCCTCATTTAAGTCTTTGACTCTCTGGTTATCTGCAGACAGCTATAATGTATTGCTTCCTCACCAACTACATTTTCACTTCTCCAAGTTAATTGGAAGCACTTGCTCAACCCTTGTTCTTGTTTGGTTCCTGAATCTCTCTCCAATACTACCATCTCCTTTCACTATAATAAACTATAACCATGAATATAACAGCTTTTCTGGGTCCTGTTGAGTCCTTCTAGTGAATCACTGAACCTGAAGGTGGCCTTAGGAATCCCAACTTAGATATGTTAACATGGTATAAGAATAAAAATACAGTCCCCCCTCGGTATGTGTGGGGGGATTAGTTCCAGAACCCCCCACGAATACCGAAATCTGTGGATGTTCGGGTCCCCTGTATAAAATTATGCAATATTTGCATATAACCTATACACGTTCTCCTGTACACTTTGAATCATCTCTAGATTACTTACAATACCTAAAACAGTGTAAATGCTATATAGTTGTTCTACTGTATTTTTTGTTGTCTTTTTTGGTTTTTTCCCCAAATATTTTCAACTCAAAAGTTGGTTGAATCCACAGATACAGTGAATTGACTATTATTAATTAATTTGTGCAAGAAATACTTAAGAGTCAATGAATTCTATAGCTGCTATTCTACCTACTGTCAAATAAAATCATCTATTATAATCAGTGAAAGTAAAGATGTTTATTAAAATCTATTTGATGGCAGCTTAACTTGGATTTGGACACCTTATCTCTTAAAGGATTTTGGTTATTTTTTTAAAAATCCACAGTAAACACTAACATTTCAAAATAGGTTAAAATAAATTTTTATTAAATGTTAGAAGAGATTTATATACAATTCACAAATTCTTTACAAAGAATTGCCAATCCTTGTCCACTTTTGTAATAATTCCTATACAGATTTAGAAATTTTGCTGTGAAATATGGTCTACAAAACATTTCTTTAGAAAGCATCATAATGCTAATTTTAGGCAAAATAATGTTTAAAACTGAAATCTTTGCATGAAAGTGAGCTGAAACATCCTTATTCTTTATCCCGGTGACAAAATAATGGTAAAATAAACATTAAACTGAGGAAACAATAAGTATCGTGTAAACTCCTCAAATTCACCCAAAACTTCTTATTACTTTCAGAACCAGTGCCATTACAAGATATCAAAAATCATAGTACGTACTCAAATAAAATGAATGTTAATCAAATTAACATTCAAAGAACAAAGATATTGTCACAAAGAAGTACCCCTTATCGTAAGATATATTATAGAAGTCTTTTTACATTGAAGACTCACGGCAAGAGCCATAAATCCTACAGAAGACAGTCTCCTCACACAGAATAATGATAATTCATCTATTTTAGAAGTAAATAACATCTCCTTAGTAGTGCTGCTGGTATAAAAAAAGATACGAGTTCAAAATATGCTGGCAACATACAAAAGTAGCCAATGGTTTTGGTCTTTGTCTAAGAGTACGCCCCCTAGTTTAACAAAGACTGGCTTTGAATCTTCCATTCAAAAGCACATTTCTCTTCCAAAAGGACGACTGCCCAACTGATACCATCCCAGAGAGCAGAATCCCAACCACAAACTTTAAAGGGATATGGCTTAACAAAGAAGAAAACAGTAACCAATTTACCTCAAAGATGGGAAGCAAAAATCAATGTCAAAGTATTAAAAAATCACAAGGAATTTTAAAATTCAATGTTTTGAAATTTTTCCCCTGAGCTGTGGATGCCTTTTATATACAGTATCTAGTAAAACTGATGCATTCCATCATTTCAAGTTGTACTTATAAATGCTGAGATTCTTGGTGCTAAAAATAGATAAGTTATGTCTTGAATAGCATAAAGTGGTGGCAATTACGTGTTTCATGGAAATCTTTGGTGAGATGCAGTCCTGCAGAAGCCTCCTTACTTTGTTTCCCTCCTCACGATACGCCTAGAATCTTCAAGTTATTTTCAGAGGAGAAACCACAAGACCGTAATGAAGGACAAGCAGGCCATCCTGAAAAGAGGGGAAAAAAGAAACTATTTTGCAGTTCTTATCAGTTATGTAAATGATCAAGTCAAAGTTGGCTTATTTTGCATAATCCAACACTAATGTGAAATTCTTTAAAGAGAATAAAGGGACCAAGATAAATATACCTGTTTATTCACCAGACACTCCTTGTCAATGTGTCTTTTTAATGACTTTCAGGAGCCAGTTCTGAAACTGTTATGTAACCATAGTTAGCTAGGGTCATTTATGACTACACAGTTCTCCAAAAAGAACTAAAAGAGAAATACCTTTCCTTCTGCACAGACTAGTTATTAGACTACTCAAGCACTGGGTTCTTCTAAAAAAGACTCAACTATCATAATGCATCATGGATCTGTTTGACATAAAATGTTCATTTCCACATAAATGCAGCTTACTACTATTATAAGTAACGGAACTTTGAAACACCCTTTTAATGGAAGCATAAATTATATAATACATTTTACTTCCTCCTTAAAGATTGTCCGCAGGGGTTGTTGGGCAACTAAACCCTATATTAAATGGTTCCAGATGATATGTTTCCAAATCGTTTTATCTGCTTTTGTGTGTTGGTATCAGGTCTTAATTCTTGGTATCAGGTCTTAATTCTTTGTGCTCTTACCAAGGTTGCACCCAGCAAGCGATTCACCTTTCTAAGGTACTATTTCTAATTTCCTATGGACGGGAAAAGTAGCTAAAAAGGAAGACATATTGGGAAATGTGCAATGGACCTGCTCCGAGCAACACAGGGAAGGGTGGGTAGCTCACATGTCTTGCATTTCCAATCCCCGTCTGCCTTTTACTCCCTCTTTCTGTTCTTTGCTAAGCTATTTCCATGGCTCCAGGTCCTTATTTCTCATTCACTACTCAACCCACTGCAATCTGGCATCTGATCTGTTCCTGGCAACTCCAGTGAAAATTCACCAGAATACTAGAAAAGGACTCACAAATTCAAATGCCCACGAGGGCCAAGAAAGTAACATAAATGAATACGTGAGGTAGGTACGTGAGTCAACAGAGATGTTGAAGACCAATGGTAAACTAGAGAGCAGATACCTACACCTAAAGAAATTTGAACTCAACATGGAATAGGTCAAATAAAGCAAAACCCCATACCATTTTTGGCCCATGGACCATTGGATTTGTTCTGGACTAATTAGGCAGATCAAAGTAAATAAATTTGTATTACAGGTTGAACACCCCAAACCTGAAAATCAAAAATCTGAAATGTTCCACAATCAGAAACTTTTTGAGCACCAATGTGAGACACACACACACACACACACACACACACACACACACACACAAATAAAAGCCCATTGGTACATTTCAGATTTCCAGATTTGAGATGTTCAACTGGTAAGTATATTGCAAATATTCCCAAATCCAAAATATCTGAACTCTAAAACACTTCTGGTCTCAAACATTTTGCATAAAGGATACTCAATCTGTATAACACAAATAGAAGCCATTAACATTTTACCATGCATACAAATTACATTTTACATAATGTTAATTTTTGAATATAGTTATGTTTCAGAAATGAAAAGCATAATTTTGTAAGACAAATACATTGATATGCAAAGATAAAAAACTGAAATGGTTTACAAGCTGTTTCAAGATCTCAAAACTACTTTAATGCATGTATAAAATCACAT